GAGTATGAACGACAAAGCAATAGGCACGTCCAGTTTGGAGTGCCTGTCCAGCATCGTGGACCGCCTGTCTTCAGTGGAGTCCAGCTGTGGTCCAGCTGCTCTGAGGGACATGGCCACCTTCTCTCCCGGCAGCTCTGACTCTCAGCCCTGCACGCCCGACAGCCCCGGAACCAGGCCCGTGTACCACGTCCTGTAAAAAGGGGGAAATCCCACTTTGGTGTGCTGTTTTCCTTCCTTCCTTCCTTTCTTTCTTTTTTATTTTATTTTATTTGCAAAAAAAGGAAGAACCAGTTTTGCGCAAAGCGGACGAAGGCTCAGCAGAATCCGAGGACCTAAGAGATTGTAAATATGTATTATAGCACCCATTTATTCTAAACGCCCTTTTATACCCAATGAGACATATTTAATAAGGCTGCATTATTCAAATATCAAGATATTTAAACTGTGTTGTAACTTTTAATGTTCCGGGTTGCTTCAAAAAAAAAATCTTTTAAAACGAGTTTGCTTTATTAAATCATGTAATGAAACATTTCCAAGTGCTTTATTTATTTTTAAAGAAAGACGAATCACCTCAAAACAAAAAAAAAAAGTTTATTTAATCACGACTGAGTCAGCTTTYGAGGTTTTTGTGAAAGAGTCGCGTGTCTCTTGCGTGACAAAGATTTTGACTTTGTCAGGTTATTTGTCATYTCTGACTTGTCCCGGATGGTCTCGGCTGCCTCCAGCTAACAAGGTAAAAGGATCACATCAGTGGTCAGCTGATGCTGTTTATCATTTTTGCAAAGCTTCAAACTCCGATGTGACTTTTAATCATGCAGAAAAAAAGATGTGCTTATTTCTTGCAAAATGAGATTATTCTTCTGTTTGACATAGATGTGCTTTTTTTTCTTGGAAAGGAAGGSGTCACTGTGTTTCAGTTTGTTCCTACCAAATGTGAGTCATCATCAACACCTTTGATTGTCCCATCAACACTAACGTGGAGAACAGATGGCCTCTAATAGGACTGATTGTGTCTGGGGAGAGGGGGGTTGTGTGTGTCATCATGGTTTTGATCAAGCTGCGAGAAAGCTGTATTTTTTATAGATCTCCAAAAAGTTGGAATTTTTTTACTATTATTATTATTATTATGATTATATTATTTTTTGTTAAATAACTCATTCCACTTAATTCATTTAGTTGCAGGTTTAATACTGAAACAATATGAATATAAGATACGACACACTSTAACACCTGCTCCTACAGAGAGTTGTCCACAAATCTGAACAAAAACTTGTAATGATTGTAAACCACCATTAGAAATATGTTAAAATAATAACAATAAGAAGAAAAATACACATTTTACTTGTAACCTCTGGATCTAGAGCGTCTAATTGAGTGGGTTTGTTTGAGAAATGATGATTCGCAAATTTTAGTCTGAATGTAGCTGAGATGTTTTGGAGTGTTCGATGTGTAGAAAACAGATAGTCCACTAATGCTTTGACTGACAAGAAATAAACCAGTTACTAAAATAAGTTTTATTTGCAGTAATAGGAAGGTAAAAGTCTGGCATGATTATTTGAGGCTATAAATAATAAAACAAAAACATTGAAAAGTCTCATAAGGCGACAAGTGACTTTGAGGATGATGGTTGACTTTATTTGTTCGCAGTTAGTTTAGAAATATTATTTATAGCCTTATTAGGTCTTATTATTATTAMTAGTAGTATTTAGTTATCTGTGTGCCTAGCTGTAWTTGGAGTTTTGGGTTAGCTTCACAGTGAGAAGGTCGGGGGGGTTCAATCCCTGGGTCGGCTCTGGGGGTCTTTCTGAGAGGTACTCTGGTTTCCTCTCGCAGTTTAAAAACATGCCTGTTTAGGCTTCAGGCCCATCCTTGAAAATAGATATTAGATTGGAGCGCCCAAGAGTTGTACTCACGTTAAAGTAAAAAGTAGTCATCCAAGAAATTACTCAAGCATTTTGTCAAAAGCCTACTTGAGTACTGAGTAACTTTGATCGTCGATTTAATATTTTAAAACGACGCCTTCAGACTGACAGAAAATAAAAAGGTATGTGAAAATTCTAACGTTTTTAAATAACTAAAACAAAGAAAGTTAATATGAATAAATAATTTGATTACAAAATAACAAATTCCAGAGGAAACGTTTTCCCAAGTCTAACTTTTTCATATTATGAAGTTTATGAAGACAGAAACGGGTAAAACTATTCTAATGATTATCTTCTGTTTACCATGTCTTCACTTGATCCCCAAATGTACACTCAAAAAACAGATGTGTTGGACTTACTTAAACAAATGATGTCAACAGGTTCCACTCAGCTGAATTGAGTACCTGTCACACATTTACTTCACACTCACTTATAAAGTAAATGTAAAAAAAATCTGCATTTTCTAAATTTAGTAATAAGGAACCTGTTGTATTTGTTTAAATAAATCCAACACATGTTTCTGAATGTGTAAAACACTTGGAAAGAAAAGAAAAACACAAGTTAAAGTAAAAAAAATCTTAAAAGAAAGTGATTTCACTGATAAGAAAAGCATTTAAGTACGAGCTGCACACAATAATTGGGAAAGTAAAAGTAAAAATAAAAGCAGTCTCCCATAAAGTGTTGCATTTACTCGACCAAGTTTTGTCAGTTGTTTCCACCAAACTGAGCTAAACATTGAATTACATTTACTCAACTCGTTAGTGGAAACATGCTGACTTTGTGACTGGTAAAGTAAATTCAACACTTCGTTTTTTCAGAGTGCATAAACAAATCCTTTWATGATGAGTACCGGTCAAATATAAATGTGCATCTTGTGAGGAGATGTCCTGATGCATCTCAGTAATCCAGGTAAAAAAACAAAAAGAAAAAAATTGTATAGGTCCTCTGGACGGGTTCTTCTTTAATGAAACGTTTCGTCTCTCCTCCAAGAGACTTCTTCAGTCTGAGAGTTTCAGGCAAAGAACTGAAGAAGTCTCTTGGAGGAGAGACGAAACGTTTCATTAAAGAAGAACCCGTCCAGAGGACCTATACAATTTTTTTCTTTTTGTTTTTTCATATAAGGCTTTGTTTCCTGCCTCAGATATAAGGAAGTGTCCATTCATGAAAAATGACAGTGAAGACTAAAAAGAAAAACTTTACGGG